TATATTAAATTAAAAAAATATGATTATAAATTAAATAATAAAAAAATAAAAAAATAAAATTTTTATAATATTAAATAAAAAAAAAGTATTCGATTATGTAAATAAATATCTTTTTTTTTAACTATTTTCTTTTTTTTTTTCTTTTCTTTTTTTTTTTTCAATAAATTAAATTAATTTTTATTTTAATTTTTTTAATAATTTTTTACAAATTTTTTTATTATACACCGCCCTCGGCAAAAATATATTAATAAATAAAAAATAAATAAATAATTAAAAATAAATATAAATAAATAAATAAACAAATATATAAAAATAACAGTTTGTTTAATTTAATAAATTCAAAACATGGTTATCCCAAATCAAATTGTATCACCAAATAAAATAAATATATTATCAGATTATCCAAATATAAATAATAATATAAGGAATCATCACCGTCGTCGTCATCGTAATAATTTAAATATAAATATAAATAATAATATATATATAAATAATAATAATAATTTAAATAATACTATAAATAATAACGATCTTTTAAACAATAATGATAATAATAAATTATTTTTAAAAATTAAAAAGTTCTTTTCAAATAGCCAATGCACACCAAAAATTGTAATCTATGAATTTGTTCCATATCAATAAAAGGATAGTATGTGTTTACAAGTGGTTCTCCTCTTTACGTGTTTCTCTTTCGCTGTGCGATAAAAAATAAATTGTAATTTTAAAAAACTATAAAACAAAAACACACTTTAATCATTTTGTATTTATAAATCTACCCATAAACTTTTTTTATTTTTTATTTATTAAATTTATTTTATTAAAAGAGTTTCACTATTTTCTTTGAAAAAAAAAAAAAAAAAAAAAAAAAGTATCTAAAAATAATAGATTTTAAAATTTTTTTTCAATTTAATATTTCAACCAATAAAATTGTTTTTATTATTGCTGCATATTTTCACCAATCAAATTTATTTTATAAATCAAAAAAAATAATTTAATATTATAAAACCTCTAAAGTTGGGGGTTACATTTTTTTTTTTTTTTTATCTTTGATTTTTAGATTTATTCTTTTTGATGAATTTTGATGAAAAATGGGTTTTCTTTTGTTGTTGAGAGAATTCCTATAAAAAAAAATTTCAAATATAATAATTTAAAATTATAAATAAAATAAAAAAACAATATTCAATTAATCTATAAAAATTTGTAATCTGGTTCAATCATTTTTTTCATATACGAACAGATTAAATGAATTTTTTATAGATATATTACATTTTGTTTAATTAAAATTGAATAGATTGCAGTTAACTATTTTATAATTATTATTATTTTTTTTATTATTTTTTATTTATTATTTTTTTTTTTTTTTTATTATTTTTTTCATCATTTTATTTCTATAAATTAATTTTTTTTTTTTTTTATAGTTGTATAATTATAATTCTTGTATTTCCTGTATTATTATTTATTGTATTATTAAAAGTGTAAAGTTTATTTAAAAAAAAATGTTTAAAAAAATTCATTTATTTTTATTTTTATTTATTTATTTAAATTCATACGGTATGCATAATTTTAAGTTATAAATTAATAATAATTAATCTTATTAATATTAAATATTTATTTAATAGAGGTCCTTGGTAAGCCCATTATTCAGTTATTTACATTCGATAATGGTCTGCTAAGTTGCAGTGGCACCGGGTTTTCGTATGATTCTAATATGACTTTGTTGGCTGATGGCATTGCATATAACGTTCCTCAAACTACAGATGGAACAATAAGTACTACCACACCAATACCAGGTCATATTGATAGATTCGATTTATTATTAATTGCTGGTACTCAAGCTTCAGATGTTTATAGCTATATCGATGAACTCTCAAGTACTTTTTTAAATCTTACTGGTGGTGCCACAGATGTTTCAGTCGGTTTTATCCCTACCGAAAATATCAATATGCTTAAATTATATATCAATGGTGTCGAGTCTACAATTTTATCAGTCATCCCTGGCACATTAGGTTCAATTAATTTCACTTATCCATCCGTTCCATCATATGGTTACTACTCTTTTGTTGTAAAATTAAATGGTATTTCAATTATAAATTCCCAAATCAGATATTACAAGTACATACCAAAGCTTTTTTCAGATCAATTAATTATTGCAAGAAGTGTTTTATCTTATGCTGGTATTGTTACTAATGATCCATGTAGCTATCCAAACTATATTACCTGTGCTCAACACAATTCCATGTTTTTATATGTAGAAAAAGCAACTGTATATAATGGTGGTGCATTCAAGAATATCAGTGAAGATTTAACCGCTTTTTGGAATGCAACCGAAATCAATGTTATGGGAAATCTATTTGTATTAGACTACTTTTATTTAAATATGTATAGATTCACAAAGTTAAAGTCATTAATTATTACCTTCCAAGTCAATGATATTCCATCTACCGCAGTTTTCCCAAGTACACTCGAAACCCTCGTTTTAAATACATACGGTGGTTCTGTAAATAATAGATTCTTTAATTCAAATTTAAAACAATTAAATATCTATACAGCTTTAACAGGATTTAATGTTTCTCCATGCCCAGTAAATAATAAATTAGAAAAATTATTTATACCAGTTACATCCACACAAGGTTTACCACAAAATGGTTTTAATTTACAAAGTCTAGATACCTTATCAATTAGTATCAATAGTTATCAATTTACTTTACCAAATGACTTTGATGTTCAATTCCCAAATATCCCAAATTTAGAATTTAGATTCGGTATACAAGCAGGTAAAAATACTTTTGATTTCCCATCAAGTGTCGAACAACTTACAGAGTTAACCAGATTTTCAGTTTATGGAGATGGTTTCTATAACCCAACTAAAGGATATATCGACTTATTAAGTTCACCACCATTATCTGTATTCTTTTCAGAGGTTTCCCAAAACTATATTGTACATGCAAACCCAGGATCTATTTATTATTTAACAAATTCAAATGTACCAGTTAGTATTATTGATTTTTCAAATTATACCTCAATGTAAATATATAATTGCATATAAAGTTTAAATATTTTTTAATTATTATTAATTTTATTTTTATTATTTTTTATTTAGTTCTGTTTTATATAACAACTATGTACAACCATTACCAGTAAATACAATTAATTTTAACACTGTTACCGAGTTAGCATTTTTAAATAGTGGTTTTTATGGTAGTGTACCAAGCGAATATTGTAAGGTTCCATTGAAATCTCTTTATCTTATGGATAATAATTTGGATGGTACTGCTCCATCATGTTTCGCATGTTTTTCAACTAGTGAAAGAGAGATGCTATTACCAAACCCATATTCAAATTTCAATGCAGATACACCAAGAACTTGTCCATCATTCAGTGTCGAAACTTCAAATATCATTGGTTCTAATGTTGAAACTTTAATTGTAAAAGTAAAAGGTAATGATTTAGGTTTCTCTGTATCAAAAGCTTTCCCATCATCACCAGATATCTCAATAAGTGAGCCCAATACAGAATTAACCATCACCATTCCACCAGGATTAGATACCACATCACCATTTGAATACTTATTCCATGACGGTTTAGTTTCTTTCAGTTTTATACTATCCTACCCATCAGATTCTAGTTTATAATTCAATAAAAATACAATTTTTTAATTTACTTTAAAAAAAAAAAACCCCAAATACACAAAATCAAAATTTATTTTTAAATTTTTTTAAATATTATTCGAATAAAATATTTTAATGGTCAATGATCAGTAATCAAAAAAAAAAAAAAAAAAAAAAACAAAAAAAATAAAATAAAAATGATTATGAAATTTTTTTTTTTTGAATAAACAAATAATTTTTAAAAACAATACATTCTTTGAAATTTAAATATCAGTTTTTAAAAGAATAGTATCTTGTTTTTGGCTGATATGATTTTATGGTTCAAGAAAAAATAATATTTGCATGTTTTCACCAATTCAAATTATTGTTTTAAGAGTATTTATAAAAAAAAAAAAAAAAAAAAAAAAAATAAAACATCCACACGACAAATCCGATTATAATATTTAAAAATACTTTATATTCTTTTAAAAATTGGAGTTTTTACTGAAAATATGCCTTTCTTTATTTACAGAGAGAATAAAATTAATTTTTTTTTTTTTTTTTAGTGATTGTAAAAAAATATATATGATTTATTTTAATATGAACAGATTATAAGAATTATTTTTCAAATATTTTTAAAAATATAAGATTTTTGGATAGAGGATGGAATTATAAAAAATTTTATATTTTTTTTGGGTATAAATAGTTTGTTTTTTTTTTTTTTTATAATTATTCTGTATTTTATATTTGTTTTAAAAATGATTTTAAAAAAAACTTATTTTTACCTTTTATTATTTGTATTATTTTCATATTCAAATTGTACTTTATATAATGACCAGGGTATTTAGTTAAATTTTATAATATTTTATTTAAAAAATGAATAACAACTAATTTTTTATTTATTTTCCAAAAAAAAAAGATATTTTAGCAAAAGAAATTTTATTAAAATATTACGGTATTTCAACTTCTGACCCTTGCACCACATCTTATATTACTTGTAAAAATGATTACATACATCCATTGGATCAATATGTTGATAGTGTAAGAGTTTACCTTCCAAGTGGTTCACCAGTGATTCTAACAGAGGATTTAACCGTTTTTGGTAATTCTTCAACTATAATGCTTCAGGGGAATATCAGAGTATCAGATTCGTTTTATTTTAATCTTTATAAATTTGATAAATTAGTTTCCCTTTATGTAGATTATCAATTAACCACTGTTCCTACTGGAATTGTTTATCCACAATATTGTAGATTGTATGTAAATTATTTATATATACATAATTAAAAATTATATATATTAATTTTTTTTTTTAAAAAAAAGTTCTATTTTATATTATGGGGGTTTAGTACATGATGATCTTTTTAAAGGACTTGAAGGTTTTTATGTAAGCTTTTCATTACCAGGTTATTCAATTGTTTCATCATTCCCTGTTAACACCAAAGTTAAATGGTTATCTCTTCCAATTTCCCCATTAGGAACTCTTCCAACAAATGGTTTCAATGCCCCTAACATTGTATCTATTAATAACATAATCCATGATATAACTGACCCTTCATATATTTTCCCAAATAATTATAACCAGTTCCCAAATGTATATAATATTCAATTCCAATTCTGGCCCTCTACAACTGTTAAATTAACTTACCCACTTTCAGTTACAACACTTCCAAAATTAGATACTCATATTATTTATGGAGATGGCTTTAAATCTAATTCTATTGGTCAATTTAACTTTTTAACATCATCAAGATTATATTTGTAATTATAATTTTAATTGATTTTATTTTTTTTTTTTTAAAAAACTAATTTATTTTTTTATTTATAGACACTTATCACAAAGTTCTACATTAATCAAATCATGCACACAAAGACCATGTATTACTTTGCCACCAGGTTCATCTTTTAGTTCATATGGTAATGATTTCTCTTTAGATCTTATTGATTTTTCCAACTATACAGATATTCGTATTTCAAACCATATCCAATCGGAAAGAAAACTTTTAGTTAACACCATTAATTTTGATAAAATACTATCAATGTAAGTGTTTATATTTTCATTATATTGTTGATTATATATTAACTAAAAATTTTCTATTTATTTTATTATTTTAGAGAAATTGAAAATTCTAATGTATGTTTTATTAAAAAAAAAATTAAGATTTATTTTGTTTATTAATTTATTTATTTTTTTATAAAATAGTTTATTGGATCTATACCAGAAGAATATTGTTCAGTTCCTAAGCTTGGCAAATATGGTTATGGCTATGGTTTAAAACTTGCAAACAACAAACTAAATGGTACTGTCCCAGGCTGTTTTAAATGTGTTGGAGGTATATTTTATGCTACATCCCTTTTCCCTAATACATTCCTTGATTTTACTCCAACTGATCCACCATCTTGCCCAACTTTTTGTATTGATAACACCTACAATAATATTGTTGCAACAAATTCCCCAACTGTTATTACAATTAATGGTAAATCCCTTGGTCATTCTATAACACCTTTGTCTTTATTACAGCCACAAGCCCAAATATCAATTCCAAATAAGCAAATTAAAATTACAGTTCCAATTGGTGAAGGTAGAGACTACAAGTTTACTTATTATTTGCAAGGCCCACTTAATTATTCCTTTACCTTAAGCTATTCATATGAAAAGCCAATTATTACATCGTTTGCTTTTGAAAATGGTTTGTTAAGTTGTAATGGCAGTGGTTTCTCTTATGGTTCTAATATGGGTTTAGTTGCAGATGGTATTGCATATACTATTCCTAAAACAACAAATGGTTCAATTTCTGTAGCAACAACTATTCCAAGTAATATCAGTAGATTTGATTTTGAATTATTTGTTGGTAATCAATCTTCTGGTTTTTATAGCTATGTTGATCAACTCTCTAAAAACTATTTAAATTTGACTGGTGGTAGTACTAATGTTTCTGGTATAGACTTTGTTCCAACAAGTGACCTTACAATGTTAAATTTGTTTATTAATGGTATTGAATCTACAATTATCTCTGCCCAGCCCGGTCCCCTTGGTTCCATTAAATTTAACTATCCCTTAGCTTCATCATATGGCCACTATTCTTTTGTTTTACAATACAAAGGTGTTACTATTTTAAATTCCCAAGTTAGATACTTTAAGTATGTTCCAAAACTTTTTCCAGACCAATTGGCTGTTGCTAAAAAGTTATTAGAATATTCAGGAATTACTACTGATGATCCATGTAGCTATCCAAACTACATTAAATGTGTTCAACACAATTCAATGTTTTTGTATGTTGAAGAAGCAATCTCATATAATGGAGGCTCTTTAGTTAACGTAACTGTAGACTTGACCACCTTCTGGAATGCATCTAAAATTAGTGTAATGGGTAATTTGATTGTATTGGATAGCTTTTATTTGAACTTAAATAAATTTGTTAGATTAAACCACCTTGCTATTTCCTACCAACCAAGTAATATTCCTGCTGCCACAATTTTACCAAATACTCTAGAAACCCTTTCACTCAATATGTATGGTGGTTCGGTTGATAATAGATTCTTTAATTCAAATTTGAAACAATTGGATATTTCCTTTGGTGTTGGTGACTTTAGCATTTCTCCTTGCCCAATTAATAACAAGTTAAAAAAGCTTTATATTCCGGTTACACCCACACAAGGTTTACCACAAAATGGTTTTAATTTACAAAGTCTTGATACACTATCAATTAGCATAAATGACTATCAATTTGCTTTACCAAACGACTTTAATGTTCAGTTCCCAAATATCCCAAATTTAGAATTTAGATTTGGTGCATGGTCAGGTAAAAAGACATTCGGCTTCCCATCGAGTGTTGAGCAGCTAACCAAATTAAAACAACTATTTATTCATGGCGATGGATTTATTACTCCATCAAAGGGTTACATTGAGTTGTTAAAATCTCCACCATTAACTGTTTGGTTTAACGATGTTACTCAAAACTACTTTGTAAAAGCTAATCCAGGTTCTTCATTTGTGCTAATGAGCTCCAATGTACCATTAAACAACGTTGACTTTAAAAACTATACTTCAATGTAAATATTATTTCTTTATAAAAAATTGTAAACTATTTGCTAATCTTGAATCTTTATATTATTAGTTCTGTTTGGTATAACAATTATGTTCAAGAATTACCAGTAAGCACCATTAACTTTAACACCATTAAAGACATAACATTCACCCAAAGTGGATTCTATGGTAATGTACCAAGTGAATATTGTAAGGTTCCATCAAAGTCTCTCTATCTTAAGAGTAATAATTTGAATGGCACTGTACCAACCTGTTTTGTATGTTTTTCAACCAGTGAAAGGGAGATGCTATTACCAAACCCATATTCTAACTTTAATGCCAATACACCAAGATCTTGCCCATCGTTCAATGTTGAAGCATCTAGCTTTGTTGGTTCTAATGAGTATACTTCAGTTTTTACAGTTAAAGGTACTGATTTAGGTTTCTCTGTTTCTAAAGTATCACCATTGTCTCCAGATGTTAAAATTAGTAAGCCAAATACTGAATTGGTGATTACTCTTCCTCCAGGTGTTGATACAAGCATTTCGCACCAATATTTATTCCATGATGGCTTAATTAGCTTTACATTTACTTTTTCTTATCCACCACTAATTAGTTCTTTTTCATTTAACTCTAACAATGAATTGGTCATTAGCGGCAGTAGTTTTTCTCCAGTTTTAGCAACAATACCAAATTCTTTTGTCATTAATGGAGCTTCTCACCAAATTGCTACATCTAGCGATGGAAAAATTAGAGTTCCACCATCCATAGCTTCTAAAACCACATCATTTTCGTTCTATGTTATTGTTGGCTCGCTACAGTCCAATATAGTTGGCTATTCTACATCAACACTTCTTAGAGCAGATCCAGTTACAGGATTAAATGTTAGAAGCGGCTCAGCAACAGTTACAGGTAATTTTGGTCAATATATTGATAGTCTATTTTCTATAAGCATTAATAACGAGCCATGTTCCTTTATCCAATTAACATCAAATTCTGTTAAGGTAAACTACCCAGTTGTCTCTCAGTTTGGTTCATTCCCTCTAAAAATCTATTCAAACGGCCAAATATTAACTTCAACTGCTACCTATACAAATGATTTCCCACCAGAATCTGAATTTTAATCTAAACATGCATTTTATGATTTTTGCCCAGTAATAAAACAAAAATAATTGGTTTTTTATAAAAATAATTTTTTTTTTTTTTTTTTTAAATTTTATTTTTCATTCATAAATATCCACATTAATAAAAAAATCAGTTATCCATATATAATTATCTATATAAAAAATGTCAAATCCAATAACAGATTATTCATCATTTATTAGTAAAAGAGGAAAATTAAAATCAGCCTCCCCAATTATAAGTTTATTTTCAATTTCATCTTTACCAGGGATGGTATGTATTGTTTTATTTTATTTGAATATTAAAAAAAAAGAAAAAATTAATAACAAAAAAAAAAAAAAAAAAATAGATAAGTTTAGGTGGTTGATTACCAAATCCAACTACATTGATAAAATTATTGGAAGCATCTTTCAGGCCTTGTCGAATATAACATATCATCTGCTGGCATGTTTGTTTGGATTCATCTTTTAGGTATTCGAGACAGCAAAAGCTTAATCTTTGAAAAAGCAGTAGAGAAAAAAGTTATCTTCGTACCTGGTGTTGCCTTTAAACAAGATAATTCAATTTCACTGTTACCCCAAATACCATTTAAATCTCTCTAACCCAATTCGTCCCAACAGAAAAATACTCCATGCCACAATACATATCAAGTCATTTGATGCCACAACAAAACCATTCATTTACAAAGGTAATGGACCCGTCGAAAACAGATTGTAATGGACAATCCTTGATGTAATTGATAGTGCTTTATCATTAATATAAAAAGGCGAGGGTGATGGTATGGTTTGGTGATTCAAAAATATTAGAAAAACACAAGAAGATAATGATTTAATAAAACAATTGGGTCAATTGACTCTTGTTTGACTTTAAACAATTTAAATAAAAATAATCATTAACCCTTAAAATATTATAAATTGGGTCGACCCAAAAAAAAATTGAAAAATTTTTAAAAAAAATAAAATTTTTTTTTTAAAATTTTATAAACTAATTTTTTTTAAAAACCAATTTTTTTTTTTTTTTATTATTTATTATCTATTTAATTATTATTATATAACCTATTTCGCAAAAATGGATACAAATAACAATAATACCAACAACAACAGTAATGCTTCATTTACTTTATATTCAACTGAACCAAAACACAAAAAACAAAAAACAAACGTAAAAGGTGCATATTTTTTATTTGAATATTTATATAAATATTCAATATTTATTAACATTGCTTGTATTTTAATTTAAATGTTTTATCTATGAATATGTCAATAAATTAATCAAGAACTTGTACCAACCAGGAGGTGAATTTTCTTTTGATGATGATTTATTTAAATGGACTGGTAAAGGAGGATTAAAAAAGAGAATACCAGGAAAAGCAGATAGAGTTGGCAATATATTATGGAAACTGGCTGATTCAAATAATTATATCTATCATTTTGAAATCGAATATTTGGTAGATAAAATAAAAAAGAAGGAGAAAATTAGTACACCTATTGGAGAAGAAATTTTAAATAGGACTGTAAAAATATTAAATGAAATTAGTTCGATCAAAAATAGACCATTCACTTGTATGATCATTGATGCTGGATTGTTAGGTAGTATACAGAATATGAAAACGTTATCAAAAAACAACTATTTTTTTATTATATCAGTTGCCTCCAATAGAACTGGTGATGTTTTCCAGCAGTTTATCAATCAAAATAAACGTAAAACTAATTTTGAAGTTGGTGAAATTAAATATGGTCAAAATGGACAATGTACAGCAATAGCATGGCAATGTAAAAAGAATAAAACATTTTATGTCCTAACCAACATTCCCGAGCCAATATTAAAAGAAAAAGAAAATGAACTAAAAAGAGTATCAAACTCAAAAGCCAAAAAAAACCAATATGAAAAGAAGTTTATAACAACACCAAGAGTAATATGGTTGTATAATAATTGTCACAACTACGTTGATTCCTCAAAGATGGTTATAAATCCACAAAGAAATAATCAAAGAGCAAGAACTTATCAAAGAGTTGTTTTCAATGATTGTTTTTATATATTATTATATAATTGTTGGGTTTCTGTTAATTTATTTTTAACACCAAATGCCAAACCATTATTATTTAGAGAGTTTCTTTTATATATTTGTAATAGTCAACTTTTTTCCTCTCCCCCTAGAGTTTCAAGAAATTCAATACATTGTCCAAAATTAATTTCCGATAGAGCTTGTTGAAAAAAATGTTTGTTGTGTCGTTTCAACCCACAACTTTCAGGAAATTTATATTCTGTTAAAAATAATCCAATTGAAACCACATGTCGTTGCCATGGCTTCCATCTTCATTCTTTTTGTAATATTATTTATCACAATCCCCATTACAAATTTAAATTCGATAATTAAAAAAAAAAAAATAAAAAAATAAAAAAAAATTAAAATTTTTAAAAAAATAAACCGTTTATTTTTTTTTTAAAAATTTGCATATAAAAAAAAGTTGGGGCGCCTCAAGGTTTTTAACTTTAAAAACTACGACACTTTAAGGGTTAAAGAAATAAATAAATGAATGTAATTGTTGTGTAAAATTTTACGCTGAAGCAGTGACGCTTCAAAAAAAAAAATTAAATTTTTATTGGTGAACCTTTATAACCACTTGAGAGGAAAAAATTTATTAATTTTAACTGCTTTTTGTATCTTGGTCTCCAGATTGAATTTTTTGCAGGGTCATTTTTTTTTTTTTTGCAACCTCAGTTTTAATTCAATCTGGAGACCAAGATATAAAAAGCAGTTAAAATTAATAATTTTTTTCCTCTCAAGTGGTTATAAAAGTTCACCAATAAAAATTTAATTTTTTTTTTTGAATTACAAAAATAGAATATTTTTTTTTAATTAAATTATTATTTTGTATAAAAAGGTTGTAAAATAATTTTTTTTAATCATTAAATTGTTTTTTTATTATATATTTTTTAAAATTAAATTATTATTTGTATAAAAAGGTTGTAATTTTTAACCATTAAATTGTTTTTTAGTATATTTATTGTTATTTATAAAAAATGGAAGATAAATCAAATGAAATACAATCCAGTGATTTCATGGAATCAACTGGTAGCATTCTAACTGGTTTAATTGGATCTGTTCCAGTTGTTGGAAGCATGTTAGGTGGTCTTTTTGGTGCATTATGGCCAGGTCCTAAATATGTAACTGTTGAAGAATTTCAAAAAGAAATCAAAAAATTAAAAGAACAAATGATAGCTATGGTAGATATGTTAGAAGGAAAGATTGATGCTGCTCTTGATTTAGTTTTTAATACAATTATAGACATCGAAGTGTTAGCTTTAATTAATTCTGGTAATCATTTTTCAGATGCCGTCAATTTATGGGCAGAAAGAAATGGCAAAAAAGTTACCAATATCCCAAAGAAAAAGAGTAAGTTTGCCATGGAAATTCAAGATTTAAGTGATGAAGGAATTAAAGATCTATGCAGAACTCAATATCAAATATTCACTGATAATGCTGAAAAATGCATTATCTTATTATCTGATGATAGATTTAATGAATATTCATTATCAGCTCTTTATATTTGCAATGGTACATTATGTTTCAAGCCAATTGGAATGTATCGCTAATGGTGTCACATGGGGTTTTCCAGCTGATTTTATTGAAGGGTAAGAGATATAAAATATATATAAAAAACTCATCAGTTACTAATTATTTTATTTTATGAAATTTTATAGTAATGGAAGTGTTATTGGAGTAAAAAACAATCTCCATCAAAAAATCAATGGATTCCATATGGTTGCTGGAAAAGGATATTTCAAAGCATTAAAAAAGGGTGTTTCTCCTTCAGATAAATTTTTAAGTAAAGTTGTAAATACTGCGGCTTTAGTTCACTATGCGGATAAAAGATTATATAAATATCCAGTTCAAAAACTCAGCGACTACACCCAAATAGGATCAGATACAGGTCTTGTTATGAAACTATTTGAAAAAACCTATGTTCCCTGGTTAGATAGCTTTCGTATTGCAGATAAAACAAAGAATGATGGAACTATCGATTTTGTTACGGGTCAATCTCAAATTACACCTCTATCAAATTTAAGACCTGGTTTCAATACTTTATTCAATTTTAAATTTGTTACCCCTCCATGTAAGAAAGTTTTAGTCAATGTTCATCTTGCTGCATTCAACAACATTAATTTTAAAATAAATGAACTTTTGGTATTTTCACCTCAATATTCATTTGACACCAATTCCTTACCAATGAACTGTCCAACTATGGAAGCAATTAGAATTGGTGTAGAGTCTGGTGGTCAAGTTCCATCGTCCATAAAATATGGAATTCAATCACACATATTTGAATTTGACACAGCTCGTACATCATTTGAATTTATGTTTTTCACTGATAATTCCTTAAACCAAGGTAATGACAATCTTCACATGGAGGATATCAATTTTACATTGTTGGAATAACTTCATCTTTATTATGTCAAGTTTTGCTTTACAATAATATAAAAAAATAAATAACCTATTCAAAGTTTAAATAAACTATCATTTGACTCTTATATAATTGGCAATATGTGTAATATATTGATTTGTTTGAATAGTTTTTTTAATTTATATTGATGCAACCCTAAAATAATTAATAATGATAATTAAAAAGAGATAAATAGAAAATTAATAAAATTATACATAGAATTTTTTATTATTTTACAATAATAACTACCTTCTAAAATTCTTGATTCTTGAATAGCTTTAATAATAGCATCTAAATTTTCTCTAACTGACATTTTAATTAAAACTATATTTATTTATTTATTATTAAAATTTTTTTATTCATTCAAAAATAAATAATTACAAATACAAATACAAATACTGGATCTGCATTATTTAATTTCTTTTGATGAAAATTTATAATGATAAAAAAAATAAAATAAAAAAGACTATAATTTATAAATATAAATTTAAATGAAAATAAAGTTTTATTTATTTAATATCCATGGGTCTTATGATAATAAAGAATTTTGCCCAGTAAAAAAACAAAAATAATTGATTACTTTTTTTAAAATTTTTTTTGGTTTTTTTTATTAAAAATTAAAAATTTAAAAAATAATAATTTTTTTTTTTTTTTTTTAAATTTTATTTTTCATTCATAAATATCCACATTAATAAAAAAATCAGTTATCCATATATAATTATCTATATAAAAAATGTCAAATCCAATAACAGATTATTCATCATTTATTAGTAAAAGAGGAAAATTAAAATCAGCCTCCCCAATTAGAAGTTTATTTTCAATTTCATCTTTACCAGGGATGGTATGTATTATTTTATTTTATGAATATTAAAAAAAAAAAAAAAGTGTTAATAACCAAAAAAAAAAAAAAAAAAAAAAAAAAAAAAAAAAAAAAAAAAAAAAAAATTTTGTTTTTTTTGGGGGGGGAATACCCAACCCCAACCCCTTCCCCTTTTAATCCATGGAAATTGGATTTTAAAAAGAAAAACCCCCACCCTTTTTATTTGGGGGGGGC